AAATTTCAACATGATTCCACTACCTACCCACCAGAATAGAGTAGGTAAAATGATCAAAACGGAAAATGCCGAGTTGGAGAAAACGTGGAGCCACCGGCTGGCTCCTCTGGCGCTCGTGGGAGTGTACGTTGGTACAGGTGTGAAAAGCCCGGCGGTCTCTACTAAGGTTGAACATGCATACACTATGACCAGCAATTCCACTTCTAGGTATAGACCCGGGAGAAATGTACACGTGCGTACGCGTGTGTGCACCGGGAGAACTGCCCCAGAATGTTCCTTGCAGCCCAACTAGTGATAGCAAAAATCAGGAAGTCACCAAAATGCCAACAACTAAGTAGATAAATAAATTGTATATTTCCACAACAGAATTCTATACAGTGATAAACATGAACAGTCAACATCTTCACACAACAATATAGACTGATCTCGCAAACATGATGTAGCAAAAGATGTCAGATGCATTTATGTAAAGTACAAAAATCGGTCAAATTCATGTACACTCTTAAAAGTCAGGATGGTGGCCTCCCCTGGTGGGTAGTGACAGAGAGGGGGCACAGGGGACTTCAAGGGTGCTGGGAATGCACTGGGGGCTTCACCCAGGCTCTTTCTTTTAGTGAAAATTCCTTTAGCTCTATATTTGGATATACAAATTTTCTGTATGTATATTGAACTGCAAAAAAAATTTAAATATGTAAATAGGGATAACTCACTCATTATAACACAGAAACACTAGTATTGGGCTTTTTAAAATTCTGCATATGTTGTCCATATGTTGTCCAAGACATATTTTAAAAAGAAATTCATAAAAGTTTAAAATAAGAAAGAAAAAATATAGCAAATACCAAAAATGGTAGCAATTTTAATATCGAATAAAACAGAATTTAAGGGTGCAAAATACCGTGAGGAGAAAAGGTAGATATTATTATACTGGCAAAAAAAAAGAAAGAAAAAATATAATGATCATATGTACGTAGGTACCTAAAAATATAATTTCAAAATACATAATGCAACAACTAAAAGAATTACAGGGAGAAATAAAACAATAGTTCATTATAGTTGGAGAATGTCATACATCTATTTTGGAAACGGAGATATCAAGTAGACAAAAATAAGCAAGAAGTAGACAGTTTGAATAACATCATAAATAAGCTCATACCAGTATATTTATACTCAACAAAGAGAGAATACAGATTTTGTGACACATCATTTCCTCTCCTCTCAGGTGCCAATCTTTAAAAAAAAAAAAAAAAGTAAAATAAAATAAAATGAGAAGGACAGATTTTAGTCAATTTTTTCTGTATAAAAAGCCGAAATTAGCACAAGAAGAAATAGACACGTTAAAGACACCAATAGCCATCAAAAAAATTAAAAAGGTGATCAAAAACATTCTTCCTTTTGAAAGTCCATGTTTACATTGCCTAATAAGTCAGTTCTACCAAATTTTACAGGAATAAATAATTCTTATATATTTTTTACAGAAAAAAATAAACTAAAATCTGGCCTTCTGACTTTAATGAAAGCTTATATTACCTGGAAGCCCAAACTGGATAAGGGTAGTGCAAAAAGACATTCACATGTGAATATACATATAAAATTCCTACATAAAATATTAACAGATCAAATTTAACTGCTTACTTTAAAAAAAAACTGATAAACTATGACCAAATAGGGTTTATTTAGGGGGATTCAAGAATGGTTTAAAATCAGAAGACTCTATCGATATAATTCACTATATTTGTGGATCAAAGGAGAAAAATTACATAGTCATCTGAATAGATAAAGAAAATGCATTTAATAAAGTCCAACATCTGGTATGCTTTTTAAAAAAGCGGTTGGTGTTAAAAAGGAAGAAACGAAATTATTATTTCTTCCAAATGAAATGATTATCTGAATAGAAACTTCCACAGAATATACAATTGTGCACATTAATAAAGCAGCTAAGCCACATATTTGAATACAAAGCAACTGTATAAACAATAGCTTTCTTCTACAGCAGCAAAAATAAATTCAAAAATATATTCAAATGTTAAACTACTCTTCACAATGGCAACATAAATTATAGATTAGCTAGAAATCTACTTAATGAAGAACGCACGAATCATTTTTGGAGACATAAATTTCTGGTAAAGGACATTAGACTGAATAAATGCAGAGAACATCGTGTCTATATATGGAACAAGTTAACGTTATAAAGATGACAATTGTCTGTAAATTAATGTATAGATTCAGCGTAATCACAAAAACTCCAGATGAATTTTCAGAAGCATCACACGCTGATGTTAGAACTTATCTGGTAAAATAGAAGACCAAGAACAGCTAGAAGATTTTGAGAAAGGAGAGCATGAGGGCAGGACAGAGAAGAGAGCTGCTGGGGGAGGGAACTTGCCCCAACAGATGTTAATGTGTACTTATGAAGTAACAGTGATAGTAATGAGAAGACGATGATGATGATGGTGGAGGTGATGCTGCTGATGACGGTGGTTTCCTTATACAACCAAACCTCCTTTTCACTGCCCTTCATTCCTTCCTGCATCTCTTAGCTTCCAGCTGGGATCATTTTCCTTCTTCTTGAAGAATACCCTCTGTGTACTTTTCAATGTGGATCCACTAGTGACAAATGCTCTCAGTTCTTTCTGAAAAAGCCTTTACTTCATTTTCATTTTGATAGGATATTTTTGCTGGATATTGCTGGATTTGAAGATAAGTAATAACTTTCTTTTACCATTTAAAAAATATCATTTCATTGACTTTTATTATTTTTGTTTAAAATTCCACTATAAGCAACAGAATATCCAGATTCTGTGTAGTCTGAAGCTTACAAAATTCAGAAGTGCTTATTTAAAAAGAGAATACAAAATTAGTTTCAATAGTGGATATTTATTTAGAATGAGAAGAAATCACAGAAAATTATAAATTTATAAAAAGCTAGAAATACCACAAACATCAAAAATCTAGAAAAACAGAATAATATTTTTATTAATTGCCTGACAAAATTCCATAATACTTTTTTCTCTGTTTTTTTTTGCTATGTATTCTTTCATGGCTTTTCATATGACAACTATTTTTTTTAAGAGAAGAGAAAGTTTCCCCCATGGCTGAATGGTTAAGTTCATGTGCTCCCACTTCGGCATCCCAGGGTTTTGCCCATTTGTATCCTGGGCACGGACATGGCACTGCGCATCAGGCCATGCTGAGGTGGCATCCCACATAGCATAACCGGAGGGACCTACAGCTAGAATATGCAACTATGTGCTGGGGGCGCTTTGGGGAGAAGAAGAAAAAGAAAAAAAAGAAGAAGGAGAAGATTGGCAACAGATGTTAGCTCAGGGCCAATCACAAAAAAAAAAAAAAGAAAATGAGAGAGTTTCCTCTAGCACGTTTGAAATTTATTTTTTGTTACTGATTGTTTATAAAAGTTTTTAGCATCATTCTTTATTAGTAATTCAGTAAAAAAAAAAAGTGTTTGTTTGTTGTCAAAATTGGGAAAATCCATATCAAGTTTCCTTCATATGTGAGCTGTAAGATTTGGAAGAATTTCTTATAGACAGGCTTCTGGATTCTGTATGTTTCAAATGTTTTGTTTCTTTGCTTGCTTGCTTTTCTCTACTCCCCACATATTCCCAGGGCAGTCGCCATAAGCATGCCCACACTAAGATGCAACCTTTAACCCTACACCTTTGCGGCATGGCAAGTTATTATAATAGGGAGTAAAAAGGTGTTGCTGAAAACTGTGCCTATACCGTAACGATATATGTGAAAGTGACCAAGAGCCACATAATTATATCCTATTAAACTAAGCTAGATGAGTTTCTAACTCAACTTCCCTTTGGTCTGATCCCCTCAAATCCTGGAACTACTCAAACATGATCCATCATCGTGGCTAGTGTGTCGAAGGAAATTGAAGTGAAAAAAAAAAATAAAGAGCAATCTTACTTAATTCGTTAAAATATCTTACTAGCATGTTTATAAAAACCTATGACCATGTAAACAGATGCCTCACAAGAGTTCCATTCAAGCAAGAAACCCCGAAGTTTAAGCTTCATTGGTGTCACAGAACTCCATCTCTGGCAGTCTATCTTACTGTTGCTTTTTTGAGATAATTTTTCTTGCTGCTTATAGCTTTTCTTTTGTCTTTCATTTCTACCAGTTTTACTCTGATGTGTCTAAGTGTGGTTTTCTTTTGATTTATCCTGCTTAGAGTTGTTAGGACTTCTTAAATATGTGGCTTGATGTTTTTCATTAGTTTTAGAAAATTCTCAGCCATCATCTCTTCAAATATTTCTGTTTTATTCTCTCTATCCTCTCCTTCTGGTACACCAATTACACATGTGTTAGACTGCGTCACTGTACCCCCTGTGTCTGGTATAACATCTTTAGTGTCTTTATCCTTTTGCTATGCCATGCTTCAGTATAGTTTTCTTATAACCTATCTTCCAGTTCACTAATTCTTCAGCTGCATGTAATCTGATTTTTAACCGTCTGTTGAGTTAATTTTGGTTATTGTAATTCTCAGTTCTAAACTTTTCATTTGAATCTTGTTTATACTTTCCACTTCTCTGCCAAAATTCACAATCTTATCTTTTATCTCTTTGAACAGAATAAGTATAGTTCTTTCAAAGTCTATATTCCGATAGTTCAATCTCCTGGACACTATGAGTCTGTTTCTATTGTCTATCGCTCCTCTTGCTTTTTTCTTTCCAGTGTGTTTTATCATCTTTTCACATTCCTGTTTTTCATTGAATCTTTGATATTACATATGAAAACTTAAAGAAATAAAATAATTTTAAGCCAAGAATGATATTATCTTCCTCCAAATGGATTTATATTGCTTTTGATACCCAGGTTTCACTAGCAAAAACTGTATCGCTTAAATACAATGCAGAGATTAAGATGAACTAAAGCTGGACTTCAGTCCTTTGGAGGGCCGCTTTGTTTCTGGTTCATCATTTCTCCTAGAGACTGGACACAAAGTTGGGAGGGTTAGCAGGGTTTCTCTTCCTTAGCAGGTTCTGAGTTCTATCCTCTCAAAGCTATTGTCAGCTATCCACACTTCTTAGCATCTCAGCCACCTCTCTTGAGATTGAAAGATGACTCTGGGTGAAAAACTTTTCAAATTCCAGGCTCATTCAGAGTTTCTTCTCCCAGATCTTGTTCTTATGTTTCTTCAATGTCTCGTTAGCTCTCTGATAACTTTAAACAGACGTTTAAAATATTTTGTTGAGCTTTTCTATTCATTCTCAATGAGAGGAAAGATCCACATTACTTAGTCCATATTCCTGGAAGTCCAAGGCTCCCACAACAAAAAGTGTTGTGTTGTGAGTATGGAGACACCTTCAAAGCTCTCTATTCACAGAAATTAAAGACTTCCAGCAGATGGATTTCATGAAACTGCTAACCAGCTGCTGAAGACTCAAAAGAGCCTGATTATTTTTGTTAGCATGGATTGATCAAGTTATTCAATTCTCTTAAAATAGAAATTCAAGCCACTATCCCTAAGCAAACTTCCGGCGGCAAGGTCTTCTCTTACCTACAGAAAAATAAGCTAAGATTCTCAAAGCCAAACAGAGCTTGGAATGAGCATCTCACACCCTAAGCTCGCCATCTGAGGCTCTGCCCTCCTCTTCCAGGTGCAATGCTTCTGCTCCCAGAAGAGCTCAGACTCTGAGCATCTTCCCAGTTAGAAGGAGTCTACCGTCAGCCTTTACTCATCCAAACCCAGACTTCTCGCATGAGGGACTCTCAGCCCGCACGCTTTCTCCCTGTCCCTGACTCCCTCCCCATCTATCTGCTGGAGCTCAGGATATATACATTTAATTAATTCAGCTTTACCTCCAACGTGTAAATCTTGGGAGAAGTGTCAGATTTATATGGTGGATAAATAACAGGGGTTTTCCCGGGAGACTCCATCGTGGTGAAAGAGGCTAACTGTAATTTTCAGCTGTGAGTAATTGTACATAATATAATCCTAAATGATTTTTCTTCTGTAATTTCATTAGAGTTTAGAAATTTAATTAGATTTTGAATCACTCTGAAATAAAGTAGCAAAACACCAAGAGACTGAGAGTGGTGGTTATTTTGTCCTTCGAGGCCACATTCTTGGTCTCCAATTGGCATGTCTTCATTAGGAGGAAGTTTGCAGAACTTCTTGATATATTATTGTCTTTCAGAACGGACTCTGAATAGGTCTTTGGAGAGCATTAGAAGAGTACACAATTATTATGCACACTCTTCTTGAGGTTTAAGATCATCTGCCTTGCATATACTTAATAAAAATATGTCTCTAAAGTTGTTTAAGAAACTGTGGAGATAGGAAAGATGTTCCTTCAATGCCCCAATGCTGTTCCTGGATTATTAGCAACTACCTGTACATTATGATGCAGTGAGGGGCTGTTTGCTTAACTTTAATGATTATGTAAGGTTTATGGTTATTTTTATTGCTACAACATATGAACTGTCATGGTGGCTGTAATTAGAGGCAAGCTAAAGTGTTACTGTTGTAGTCCTCCGGGACTGGGGAGAAACTACTTCCTTCTTAGCAACTTTGCCTCTGTGCAAGAGTTGGCCAAGAAAAAAGGAATCCAACTGAATGAACAGTTTGTCCCTCAAAACGGGTGATGACACAGACAAAAATGAAAAGAACGTTAAAACTTCAGGCCAACAGCTTGCACCTAACGAAGCTGCAAGGAGACACTCTGCTGTTGCCCAAAAGAGCCACGTTTGTTAATTCTCTGAAGGGTCATCACCCGCGTCTTTTCCCAAAGGCCATGCAAGAAGCACGGTGGATGGCAGAAATGCTCTAAGGGGCTTCCAGACAGTTCTGTCACGCTCCTACTGCCTCTTCCCAAATATCCTTTTCTCATCTCAGGCTGGGGGCTGAGAAACTCAGGGCGGATTGAGAAGTATAGAGAAAATAACCCAGAGGCTCTGGATGGTGTCCCCAGGATACAGAGAGAGGAATGCAGAAGCACTAGGAGATAAAAAGGATGAGACAATCTGACTACATGGTCAATCTGAAGAAGATGGGTGACTTGGGTAGGAAGCTAAAGACACAGTTATGGACTCAGGAGAGCTGAGAGTTCCATGGCACGGATACAAAAGTCCAAGGGAGACTGCGAAGAAGGCGAGAAGAAAGGGACTCTGGGGAAAGGAGAAGTGTGAAGGAGCGCCCGGGGACACTGGGATCAGGAAATGGGATCCTGGGCCTGGTGGGAGCAGAGCTGCAGAAATCTCCACAAGGGCTGCCCTGTCCTGCGGCAGACACCGGAAAACATGGCTCCAGGCTCCACCTCACCCCTCACAAACATGCTGGTCTATCATCCGCCTCCTCTCCTAGACTGAGTTCTCGGAGCAGCAGGATGTGTAAGATTCATCTTTGTTTCCACTACACACAGAACAATTCCTGGTATACGGCAGAGGTTCAAAGACTGTTGAATGAATGAATGAATGAATGAACAAATGAACAGGATCAGAAGACAGCAAAGAGAAGCCCAAACGTCTGCCTTAAGTTGGGATCTGATGGAGGCTCAGCATTCGCAGGTGGATGGTAACGCTGTAATGGGCTCCCTCCTTGAGAAGGTAGGTTGGTAATTTTCAACAAAAGCTTTCAAAATCGGTATGCTCTTTGACATGTAAACTGTATTGCTCTTCTAAGAGAATAACCTCAAAGATGGAAAATAGCCTTATGCACAAATATGCGTATAATCATAAAAAGTTGGAAATAACCCAAATATTCAGAGAAACACACCAAATCAGGACACGCCCACTTGAAGGGATATAGTGCAATTAATAAGAAGGATTTTTACAAAGTAGTAACATAGGGAAGCCCATTTGAAGAGACAACAGTATAGAAAATTTGTTTACACAGCATGATCACAAAAATACATTTTAAAAAAAGACTATAATGGAACAAGAAAATGACAAGAATAGCTGGGTTTGGGCTAGAAGACCGTGGGAGAATCAATGTCTGCTTCTCCCAGATTTTCTGCATTTTCCAAACTTTTATTAATGCCACAGCAGTGGTCCCACTTCTAAAAGAGTCTTTAACCCCATTCATCTCAGTTGCCACCAAACACCAGCCAACCTGCAGGCCCTGTCACCCGACTAGCAAGCGGGCTTTGTGGTGAGACCTTCCCGGGAGATTTTCTGGTGGGGTTTTCACGGGAGAACTGTCTCCTGTGTTCAGCATCGCCATGACTTCTGCTCACAAAAACCTAATTCCAACCTTGTTGAAAATAGACAGCCACTCTAAGCGACGGAGCGGAACAAAGCTTTGTGTATCTTCCGCTTGTTTTCAAGATTTTGTTCCATTTTATTCTATGCAAGTCACCAAGGCTCCATTCGTGTCAAACTTCTGCCTTGGGTCCCAGTCGGGACCATTATGTACTGCCGATCTGCATCCTTCTGTCATTTCCACTGGAATTTAGTGTTCTCATCACATCCTCTTCTGAGCTTTGCCTGCTTCTGAGCAGTTGGGGAGAGCTTTCTCCAGCATCACACATCATCTTCTAGTGTGCCTTTTGTGGTTCCGGGAGCAGGCTTATCCCTTGCTCTCCTTGGAGGTTCATCTCAGCGATTACCTGAGCTTGAAGCCATGGGCCCGCTCCTCCGGCCACCCTCTCTGTGAGGAGACAAGAGACAAGCGCTGTCAGCGCCAGGGGAGCAGATGCAAGCAACGAGATCGCGAATGGCTTATGAGCACTAATTAAAATTGGGGGTTGGGAAGCTACTAGGGGAGGATGTAGAGCCCATGATCAGAAATAGACAGGCAGGAAGAAGTGAGCGGTGCTGGGTTAGAGAAACGGCTCTCTGAAAAAAAATAGAGGAAGCTGAGCTACTGAGACCTTAGGGGTCCAGGCCATTCTTAAGGCCCAAAGTAGGGTCCCAGGCTTTGGAGCCAGAAAGTGCTGGCTCTGAGTTCTGGTTCTGTCCTTACCAGCTGTACCTAGGAACGGAGCTCACAGAGAAGCAGAAGGAGACATCATGGTCAGCCCACAGGGTGGTCGTGAGACAGTGCCAGCTCAAGAAGGGAGGCAGGGCCGTGCATGGCTAGGAGCTCTGGCCTGGAACCAAGCTGCCTGAGTCCCAGTCTCTGCGTCCCCACTTAGACACAGTGTCACCTAAGGCAAGTCATATAATCTCCCTGCGCCTTAGTTTCTTCATCTGTAAGATCAAGGTGATGATCACCATAAGACCTGCCTGGCGTTGAGTGAGCTGACACACGAAGGCCATCAGGACCACTCCTGCCACAGCCAGATGGTCACTCATTAAGCCAGGACGGTGTCTGGCACGTGGTATGAACACGTCCCACTGATGCTCCAGGACCTCAGTCTTCACCGACTCCCCTCCCATCTCAGAAGCAGAGCACTTCTGTGCTTCTGTCCCCTGGTCCTTTCTGGACCCAAATCCAGCTGTGCCCGGTTTGGCCCACTCTTGCACTCCCACCTTCCCAAGCTGAGCAGTTCGAGCTCCATGAGGCCCACCTGCAGCTGCCTGACCTAGCCCTCACCTCCACCCCCCTACACCCCTCGATGGCCAGAAACAGGAGGTTTATGGACACCCTGCACCAGGCCTGGCTCAGCCTCGACACCAACAGCCTTCTCTCCAGAACCAGACAGCCAAATGCTGGTGACAAAGACACCCTGAGTCCCGGCTCCTCCACATCCTCCCTCAATTCGCCTCCCCCTGGGCCTGCAGTCACAGCAGCACGCAAGGCTTACCGTTGGCTCTTCATGGCCACCTCCCACCCCCAGGCTGCACAGGAGCAGACTTCCTCCTGGCCCTTCCCACCTCCCTCAGGAGAGCCAAAGGCAGGGCCCTGGTCTTGTTGCCTTTGCTCCTGGTGTCAGCACAGGACACACAGCGGGAAGCCGGCACACATTTGGACACTCCACCAAGTTCTGCACATGCAGGCTCTGAGCCCGCTAGGGAGGTGGAATTCCAGGATGATGGCAGACCCTGCTTTCAAAAAGGAGCCACAACGAAGCCATGGCCCTTCCTGTGAGAACAACCATGGCAGAAGCGAACACTCTAGAAAATTTTGCCTCTTGGGCCTCTGCCTTCTCCCCGAGGCTTTCACAGGCACAGAAAGAATTCTCCATCCCTCTGGGCCTGGGTGGCAGGAGCCCTTCCCTCTGGGACCCCACACTCCCGTTGTCTTTGCTGCTCCTCAAAACTACCATTTGCAATAGCAGCTGTTATAAACGTATTCAGCAAAGACCTTGGCGTGGCTACCCCTTTTCCAGATAAGGAAACTGACTCTCAGAGAGCTGAGCAGCTCACTCAGGGTCAACAAGACTGGAATTTGGTCTGCTAACTCCCAAGCCCATGCTCTTCTTGCTAGAAAACTCCCCATGCTGATCACGGGAAGCTTGGAGCTCAGTCATGATGTTGGATCCAGGGACCATAAGAGCCTTTCAGCCCAGCGTGGAATAAGCATGGCATCTGGGGGCTGCTGTTGGGCCAGGAGTGGCCCTCAGACTCTGCCTGGCTGAGGCAGGGATGGCCAGCCTCGCCCCTAAGCTGAACAACTGAAGAGCAAAGTGGTTCCCTTCCCAACTTTGCAACCACAGCCATGAATGGGGTCTCTCCTCTGCCCAGAGAAGACCCTGGATTTCCCTAGTCCTGCCCTCCTTCCTGCTTCCACAGCAGAAAACCTAGGAACGATAGTCCTTTCCGGTGTTCTAGATTGCAAACGTCACCCACTGGCCATTGTGGGGTTGTTTTCTCCTAGGCAGCTTTGATGTAAATGCCCCCTGATGGGGCAATGAGACATTAGAAATACCTGCGGAGTCTAGAAAAGACATTGTCTGGCCACTGTCACCAACTGGTGCTGTTTTGGTGACAGGAAGCATCGTGGGAGCACATCCACGTGTCCCCTACACAGTTCTCATGGAAGAAAAGTCTCTTCTGGTCCTCAAGGCCTGAGCACAATGGCAGGCCCTCAACAATGGAAATCACCTGGAGGGGGCCATCCTGGGGGCCATAATGCCTACAGCACTTCCTCTGATCACTTAAGCGCCCCTCAGGGCCTGAAGCCATTCACATGCAGCGTGAGTCTTGGCAGGCATTTCAGTGTGGACTTTGCCTTGCCTTTCTTCCTGGAAGAGGGGGTGGCACAGAAGCAATGGCCATGAGCCTGATTTGCTACTGGGGAGGGAGCGGTTGCTAGCTTAATTTAGCCCTATCATTGTCTGAGCTATCCCTTTACCCAGTGGCCTTTGAGTCAGGTCTGCAGAAACCACTTTCCAGTTCAATGCAGGAGACAGCCTGGGAGGGTGGGAGTCAGTCGTGTCAGACTAGGTAGAGGGTTGTCTGAGCAAGAAAACCAGAGACCTAGGCTCAGTTCTCTGCACGGAGAGCAGCTGTTGAGCGCAGGCTCACGCCCTTCCTGAGAATCAAGTGGTCCATTAGGAAGGAAATTGATATCAGTTCCAGGGCAGACTTAATACAGGACTCTCCTTAGAATGATTTTATTTGATTGTATTATTTTTCAGAATATACAAAATTATACAAAAGAAAAAAAAAGACGATGGAGGGGTCCCACTCCTTTCTGGTGGAGGCAACAAGATTCCATGACTGGGTGGGGCAAGCGAAAGCTCTGATTGTTCAAATGTGTTCCATCCGTGAAAGCATTTCCCGCTATGATTTGGTGTCCACCATGTCACCTCGCATTAACTGACTGCGTTCTTTGTGTCATATCGCCCATGGGCCGTCTAACCCCCAGGCGACTGATGTTCATAAAAACCCTCCCAGGTGAGGACGCACAGACTGATTAGGCGGGATGCAACCGTAGAGAATACCCAAGTCCACCTGCCTGGAGACGCAAGGCCTGGACACACGAAAGGACCTGCTCACGTCACACTGGTGGCAGGTGGCCTGGCTCAGGTCTCCCTTCTCTTAGCCCATGTCTAGGTGACTTCCCCCGCTTGTCTTCAAAGGAGGTAAATTCCAAAACTGAATTTGATTTGGGAAGAGAGCTAAGGTTCAGCCAGGGTCAGGTCTAGAATACTAGATGAGCAGTCACTGGCAAAAGGCCACGAGGTTAAATGAATCTTTCCCATGACCTCCTTATGACCAGCCCGTCCCCCCCTCCGCCTCATTCCATGGAGGCCACGCTCAGAAGCTTTGACGTGTCTGAAACGATCAGCACAAAATGGTCCCCAGCTTCGCCCCTCACCATCCTGCCTGTCCCTCAGGATCCTCCTTATTGTAAGGGGCTCTCTCTTCTTTCTCTCTTTGCATGCATAGTCCTGCCCCTAGCTTCTGTTTGTTTTCTCTCCTGAAACACTACAAGCTTAAAGAGAGGGAGAGATTTGATTTGGTATTGTCGTACAGACAGACAGACACGAGCTTGCCGGATCCGGGATCTCTTGTCTCCTTGCGCCAAAGTTGGCGAATATCTAATTCCCAGAGACACTAACCAACAATTTGAAAACTGAAACTGAACTTTGCATCAGCTCTTAAATAGATCAAATAGGAGCTGAGGTCATGGAAAGAGGGAGCTAAAATTAAGTCAGACAGCCCCGGCTGGAGTCCTGGCCCCGTCACCCTCTCATGGCGAGCCAGCAGCAGGAAGGGTCAGAGGATGCGACGGAGAGAGGAGAGGAAGGTCTGTGGCGCTCTCGCCGAGCGCCAGGCACTGTGCTAGCACCTTCACATGCTCCACGATGTGACAGACGCCGTAAGTGTCTTGCTCCACATCGACTTGGCCACCACCACGTTCAGCCACAGCAAGTGGACAGTTCCAAGCGCGCATCCCGACTCCAGCCTGAGCCGCGGGTCTCTTCGCTTCTCTGCTTCTGAGCTTTGTTTGAAGATATGCATCCCACTCAGCTTGTAGGCAGCTTGTAGGCAGCCTGGAAATATGGGGGAATCGCTACTTTCTGGATAACTCAAATAATGGGAGACGAGAGCAAACGTAGTGCAACTTCCTGAGTCTTAAACAGACAGTTCTGGGCGACGCTTCTCAGAGGCTCCGCAGAGCTCAGTCTCCGCTGTCTGTAGAAAGCACTTGCCACTGCATACTCACTGGGCCCCCTCCTGTCTCGCTCACTCTGCTTCCTGGCCTCACCTCTCAAGAGGGTTCTTTACGCCCGGAGGATTTGTCTCAGGCTCCGCTTGGAGCAAACACAAACCAAAGCAACTCAAACAACAGAATGAACTTTGCCATTTATATTCTTAGCTGCCTTCTCAGGAGGTGAATGCTGTTTAATGAAAGGCCATTTTGCCTGTTGAGCCCCCAAAATGGCTTGGATATGAATCTAGGGAGGAGGGTTTGGAGTTCCTGTGTTATCTATGCCAAAAGGGAGGAGAAAGGTATAGAAGCACAAAAGGAGTGAGGAGCCAGTGGGGGCCATGGGGAGACAGGCCGAGAGATGGGAAGTGACTAGAAGGAAATTCTGACCAAGAGGAATCCATCAGTGATGTCCGCTGTTTGCACTATGGTGTTCTGTGTGGGTCCTCCCTGACCCGTCTCCACAGAGTTTGTGCCAGTGGGTTGTCTGGAGCTCAGTGCAAGCATGAGTCTCACCCCGCGTCCGTGTTATGCACGGAGAGATGCCCACACCAAGGAGGTCAGTGACTCCAGGCAAAGTGGTCAAGAAAATGCAAGGCCCTGGG